ACATACAATAGTTTATAAGGCTTGGAATACGTATAGAATGAACGTTCAGAGTTAACATACGATAGTTTATAAGGCTTGGAATACGTATAGAATGAACGTTCAAAGTTAGCATACGATAGTTTATAAGGCTTGGAATACGTATAGAATGAACGTTCAAAGTTAGCATACGATAGTTTATAAGGCTTGGAACAATGGATTAAATGTATCGGCTTCATACAAATTATAGTATTGTGTGAATAGATTTTATAAGTTTTATCTTTTAAATGAGAACTAACCACAAGGCCTACATGGGAGCAACATAGGGGGGGAGGTGGGGGGGGGGAGGTTTGAGTCCTCTTCTTACCCAAAAGTCGTATTTAAATAGTTGAATACTGATCATTAAGCTGAACTACTTTATTCGCTCGGTAACCATTAAAATAAAAACGGAAAACATTTATCACTTAAAATTTGGTGGATCGAAAGTGAGACCCCTTATTTAAAATATAAAAAAAACCTGGTTGCGCTCTTGGTTGTACAGTTCATTACTTACTGTAAGCTATTAATTACTTATTGTGCAATTTTAAATTCCCTAGTTCGCAGTTTATAATTATTAAAAAAATAATATTATGGTTGGCTAGGAGGAACATATTTTCACGTGGTTTTACGGTATACGATCCTGGGTATGAGTAGAAAATCTTGATTAAGACAATGCTTGGCAAATTTTTCGGAGCCGGTCATAGCACATAATACAAATCATATTGATAGCAAAATATCGCGTAGACGTGTTAGCATATTCCAGCGATAACTTGATCGAGTTTCATAAAGGTATGAAAATCAGAACTAGCCATTTGTGTGCTTCTGGAAAATACTTAATATTATAAACTTTTTGCTAAACAAAGTAACGCATGACAACTTCATTGTGTCTAGACAGAATTGCATATATCTCAGGGTCACGGGTTCGGATCCCGGCCCCGAACATGCTCACCCTTTCAATCTTGGGGGAGTTATGATGTTACGATTAATCCCACTTTTTACTGGTAAGATTGATGGTGGGTGGTCTTAACTAGCTGTCTTCCCTCCAGTCTATTACTTCAAAATTAGGGCCTCCCAGTGGCACAGCAGTATGTCTGCGGACTTACAACGCTAGAAACCGCGTTTCGATACCCGTGGTGGGCAGAGCACAGATAGACCATTGTGTAACTTTGTGCTTAATTACAAACAAACAAACAATCAAAATTAGGGACGGCTAGCGCAGATAGTCCTCGAGTAGGAACTCTCGAGTAGTCTTGCGTAAAATTCAACAAACAGAAATACGTAATAAAAACGTGTCACAAACTGAGTTCTTTCTGTATCTGTGTTTTTCACAATTTGGGGATCATGATGCATGTTTCTAATAATTACTTCAATTTAAAAAGTTACATTGTTCGTGCGATGATTATAGTTGAATTGGAAACATCTCAGCACGTTCTCTACAATGTTGTATGTATTGTACGTACCTGTCTACCTTCACATGTGAAAATAGGATGCAGATTGATAAGGGCCTGAAACTGTTTTCAAGCAAAATTATTTTGGGCTGTCTGAATTTATTTAAACTTTATCCCTGTTAGGGTGGGGGAGACAAATATGATTGAAGTTGTGTTCTAAAAGCGGAAAATACTATTGCTAAACCATTGTACATCACGAGTTTTCAGAGTTTGATAACCATGTTTATCTTAACGCGTTGTGTTATTTCTGCCAATAAACAGGGATTAACGCCCCAAGGTGTGTGAATGTTTTATCAGTTTGGTATTGAAACACCATGTGAGCAGCTCTTTCAACTGATTTTTACTTTTACTTTGGAGCTGTTTCAGTATATATTTTTATATATGTTCGTTGCCCACAGTTTCAACTTAGCTTCCAGTTTGGATTAAAGATAAAGTCCAATTTGAAAAGTAAAACAAAAAGGAGAAATTAATTGAAAACGTTAAAACATAGATACAGTTTAGTAATTTAGAAATTACCGTAAAAACTTGATTCAGCTGTGAAGTATCACATTCCAGAAAAGAAAAAAAAAAAAACAAGAAAAAGGCCAAGCGATTGACACAAATTTTTGTAAATTATAACGCCCACTTTAACAAATTTTATCATTTCGTTATATTATACAGTGTACACTACTACATCTGCATCTGAAGTGTTATTGGTACCAATGATAATGATTGTTAGAAATATGAACAAAGTTGTTTTCTTAATTTTTACCACATTACACTTCTAAGGTGTAGTTAATTGTTGATGCTAGCAATTAATAATCAGACCTGAAAATGTTTGGTTAGTAAGTTGATCTGTTTAACTATATGAAAAAATAACTAGTTTTAAGATTGTTCTTAATGACATTCTTGGGAAACTACCATCTTGCTAGATAAGATGAGTATGTAAATACAGTTAAATAATGCGGAACCCTGAGTCTTATTTGAAAAGTGGTCTCATACCAAAATAAGCACGTAACTGTAACCCATCTGTGGAGGTTCAAAAGCCTTAAAATATACCTTTGCTTTGTTCTATGTGACATAAAGTTTAGACTAAGATTATTAAAGATGTAAACAGAAGAAAAATAATAATGTTGATATTTGTTTACTTCGGAAATAAATACATTGAATTAGAGCTAGCTAATGGTTAAATATAAAAAAAAGAAATATAATTCAATATGTAACAATTGGGTTAGTTTATAAGA